CTGTGAGTCTGATGGGCTTCCCTTTGTGGGTAACCCAACATTTCTCTCTGGCTGTGCTTAGCGTCTTTTCCTTCATTTCAACCCTGGTGAATCTAACGATTATGTGCCTTGGGGTTTCTCTTCTTGAGGAATATCTTTGTGGTGTTCTCTGTATTTCCTGGACTTGAATGGTGGCTTGCCTTGCTAGGTTGTGGATGTTCTCCTGGATAATATCCTGAAGAGCATTTTCCAGCTTAGATTCATGCTATCCATCACATTCAGGTACACTTATCAAATGTAGATGAGGTCTTTTCACATAATCCCATATTTCTCAGAGGCTTTGTTCATTTCTTTTCACTTTTTTCTCTAATCTTGCCTTCTCATTTTATTTTATTGAGTTGATCTTCACTCTCTGATATCCTTTCTTCTGCTTGGTTGATTTGACTATTAAAACTTGTGTATGCTTCACGAAGTTCCTTTGCTGTGTTTTTCAGCTCCAACAAGTCGTTTATGTTCTTCTCTAAGGTAGTTATTCTAGTTAGCATTTCATGTAACCTTTTTTCAAGGTTCTTAGTTTCTTTGCATAGCGTTGGAACATGTTCTTTTATCTCAGAGAAGTTTGTTATTACCCACCTTCTGAAGCCTGCCTCTGTCAATTCATCACATTCATTCTCCATCCAGCTTTCTTTCCTTGATGGTGAGGAGTTGTGATCCCTTAGAGGAGGAGAGGCGTTCTGGTTCTTGATGTTTTCATACTTTTTGCACTGGTTTCTTTCCATCTTTGTGGATTTATCTACCTATGGCCTTTGAAGTTGGTGACTTTCAGATGGGGTCTTTGAGTGGATGTCCTTTTCGTTGATGTTGATGTTGAAGCTATTTCTTTCTGTTTTTTAGTTTTCCTTCTAACAGGCCAGGCCCCTCTGCTGCAGGACTGCTGGAGATCCACTCCAGACCCTGCTTGTCTGGGAGTCACCTGAGAGGGCTGCAGAACAGTAAGGGTTGCTGCCACTTTCTTCTTCTGTTATCTTCGTCCTGGAAGAGTACCTGCCTGATGTCATCCAGATCTCTCCTTTATGAGGTTCCTCTTTGGATACATTGTGGTCTGGGAGCCACTTGAGGACACAGTCTGTCCCTTATCAGTGCTCAAGTGCTTTGCTGGGAGCTCCGTTGATCGATTCAGAGCTGCTGGGCAGCTATGTTTAAGTCTGCTGCAGGAGAAGTCATAACTTTCTCTTTGCCCAGCTTGCTCTTTTAACTATTATAGTGCATAACTTTAAAAAAAAATTCTCTATATAAGCCTTTTGCCAGTGATATAAGTTATAAAAATTTCTCTTTGTCTGCATAACTACATTTTTCACTTGAGTTTGTCTTTGTTAGTAGAAGCTTTATTTTCTTTTACTGTTTTTGTAACCTCTCTAAGACATACTTCCCTACCCCAAGGTTGCAAAAATATTTTTTCTTGTTTTCCTCTAGAAGCTTTGTTGCTTTAGCTTTTATGTTTAAGTTTATATTTTATAATTTTGTGCATCTTAGTTAAGAATCAATTATATGTGTGTGTGTATATGTGTATTTGATATATATAAATATATAGTAATTATTTGATCATACATGTTTGGATCTATTTTGGGATACTTTGTTATTTCTACTAATGTACATGTCTATTTTTATAAATGAAAATCACATTGTTTATTATTGTAACATATCCTAAAGTGACCTAGAATAAATAGGTTCTTCAACTTTGCAAATTTTTTTTTTTTTTGAGACCAGTTTTGCTCTTGTTGCCCACAGGCTGGAGTGCAATGGTACAATCTTGGCTCACCACAATCTCTGCCTCCCAGGTTCAAACTATCCTCCTGCATCAGTGTCCCAAGTAGCTGGGATTACAGTCATGCACTACCATGCCCAGCTAATTTTTGTATTTTTAGTAGAGAGAGGATTTCTCCATGTTGGTCAGTCTAGTCTTGAACTCCCGACCTCAGGTGATCTGCTTACCTTGGTTTCCCAAAGTGATGGGATTACAGGCATGACCTACCATGCCCAGACAGACTTTGCAATTATTGAAGATTGTTTGGCTATTCTAGATCTATTGAATTGCTGCACATATTTTAGAAATAGCATGCCAATTTGTATAAAAAGTGTAGTGGAATTTTGAGTGGAACTAAGTTAAATTTATAAACAATTTGGAGATAAAACCCTTAAGTCTTAGTCATTTATTTATTTATTTTTTCTCAGCACTATATTAGTGTTTTTAGTTTGGAATTATTGTATATCTTTCATTAAATGTATTTATATGCATTTTAGGTTTTAATTTTATTGTGATATTTTAGAATTTCATTATGCAGTTGTTTATGGCCAGCACATAAAATACAATTTAATTTTATATGTCAACATACTGCAACATAGCTTAATTTTATTTTTAGTTCTAGAAGGACTTTTGTGCATCCCTAAAGGTTCTATACATATACAATTGTTATCTGCAAATAAGGTTTGCTTACTCCTTTCCAGTCTACGTTTTTAAAATTCTTTTGACTTGCCTGTTGCGGTGGTTAAGACCTCCATTTTATTTTAAACAACATGTTAAGAGTAGACACCCCTTTCTTTCTACTGATACTAGGGGGGAATAATTCAGTTTTTTGTCATTAATTAGGATATTGGATATAGGTATTTAAAGATGTTCTTTATCAGGTGGAGGAGCACATCTATTCCTAGAATTCTAAAGTTTTTAATTTCCTTTTTTATAAAAAAACAAAAGTTGATGGTGAATTGTCTGAAATATTTTTCTACATACATTGAAATATTATGTTTATGCTTTTGTTCTTTAGCCTGTTGATGTGGTAAATGTTTAAAAATGGATTTTGGATGTAAAACCAAGCTTGCTTTTCTAGAATAAATACCACTTATGTGGTCATGACGTGACATATTTTTCATATATTACTAGGTTCGGTTTGCTAATATACTGTTTACATATTTTTTTCTTGTATATATCCATAAGGGACATCACTTGCACTTTTCTTCTGATGTTTAGTGGGGTTTTGATATCAAGTTTATTATGTCTTTATAGGAGTTGGAGAGTTGTAACTTCCGTATTTTCAGAAAGAATCAGCTTAACAGTGATAGTGTCTCCTTTTTAAATTATTGAACACCTTCCTAGAATTATAATTTTTCTTTTGTCTGAATTTAATCCTTTGAATGACTATAAGACCCTTTTAATAGTTTCTTCCTTCTTTTGTAAGTTTTGGTTAGGTTTTTAAAAAATGTGTTTGTTCACTTTAAGTTGTCAATTTCTTTCATGAAGTTATTTATCATGTCCTTTCATTATTCCTTTTAACATCAGTTAGCTCTCAGTAATTACCCCTCCTTCATTCATTATATCGGTAACTTGTGTTTTCTTTCTCTTTTTTCTAAATTATTATTATTTTTTTTGCTATGAGTTTATTTAATTTATTTGTTTTTCATAAGATCTGATATTTATCTTAGTAAATTTTCTTTATTATTTTCTCTGTTCTATTTTATTTTTTTCCAGTTTTTTTATTTTATTTTATTTTATTTTGCTTTGGTTTAATTTGTTCCTTCATTCTTAAGTTGTTGAGATCATTGAGTTTACACCTACCTTCTTTTTGTGTATGTATGTAAATATTTAAATTTCATTCAAATGACTACTTAAGATTCATTCACAGAGTTTGATATGTTGTATTTTATTTTGTTCAGTTCAAAATGTATATGCTTTAAAGTAATATGTATATACATTAAAATGTTGTTTTAGAAGACAAAAATGCAAATAAACTTCACAAGAAAAATAATTAAAACATAGTGTGGTGTTTCTTACAGTTTAAAGATTAGACAAATTATATCCAGATCAGTATAGCAAGAAAGCCTGTGTTCCCTTTCTTAGTTTCAGGAAAATTACAGAATTTTAGAGTAACAAAAAATAAGAACAAAATCATTTTTTAGCATATTTACTATTATGTAAGTTGTGTTCCCTATGACCTATGCTGTTTGAATTCAAGTATAATATTTCAAATATTAATTGAGAGTCAATTATGTTTACAGATAATATTTATAAACATTAGTAACTTTTAAAAGTGTCTTTAGAAATGCCAAGTAATCAAAAGTCAGGAACTATGTATACTAATTCTAACTCTAATAAGTTGCTAAATTGGGAAATCTTAGAAAATGACAAATCTTTAAGACATTACTCATCTTTAAAAAACAAACAGTAAGGCTGGGCACTGTGGCTCACGCCAGTAATCCCAGCACTTTGGGAGACCGAGGCAGGTGAATCACGATGTCAAGACATCAAGACCATCCTGGGCGTGATGGCCTGCGCCTGTAATTCCAGCTACTCAGGAGGCTGAGGCAGGAGAATTCCTTGAACCCAGGAAGCGGAGGTTACAGTGAGCCAAGATTGCGCCATTGCACTCAAGCCTGGCGACAGAGAAAGACTCTATCTCAAAATATATATATATATATATATTCCTTTTTTAATGTATACATATATTAGGAAGTTTTTTCATTGCAATTACACAAAGTTGGATAATTTTAATGAATACTTGAATACAAACTAAGAGCACCTATAAAAACAGAGAACATGCAAACATTTTTGCATTGGGAAAAGTATAGTTTCTAAGGATAGGATTTACCAGTTGGTTGAAATATGACATTAACTAGAACTTTGTAGATAACCAAAATCTTACATTATTCTAAGTATGGTTTCTAAAAGCAGGCCACTTTAGATAATTAAACAAAATAATACTTTTATAAGGCTGTACATTTTCCTTAATAAAGCCTTAATGTTTCTGAAATTGAAAACAAATTTTTGTAAGTCTTTTTTAGTATCCAGATGCCTGTAGTCACTTGGCTTACTTGCAAAACTCTGGCTTTAGTATAAGTGAAATAAAATTTTATTGTATTATCTGATTTACTGGATATTATTGAGTAACCTTGAAATTTTAATGGAAGGCATCGGTTTAGAAGGGTACAGCATTCTCACCAGTGGGGTGTTGTGATTTTGTCTCCTGCAGGCGCTCCAAGTGATCAGAGCAGTGGCACCTCCTCTCCTCTCTGTGACAGCGGCTTACATCTCAACTATCATCCCAACAATACAGTAAGATAACCCAGGCATAGCTCGGATTAATAAGGAGATATCATACAGTTTCTAAAAACTGCTGTTGAATCTGATTTATCTGATAGATAGAAAATCCCTGATTGCATCATCATTTAAGTACTATTATAAGCAAGACATGAAAAATAAATAGGTCTGCTTTTTTGTGCCACATTTTTTCCCTCTCAAGTCTGTGTGGATTAAGTTTTTTTTTAAGCAATAGATATAATTAACTTGTGGATGTCACTGGGGATGTATAATATCATACAATCTTTTTAGGACACTGCACATTATATGTGATTTTAGGTTCAAAATGCTTTGACATTGGTTTAATCGCTTTCTTTTGAAATTACTTAACTAAAAGTGACTATTTAATATGCCACTTGTTAGAATTTTTTAGTCAACTTTATGCACACTAAATAATTTCTGCAAAGCGAGAAAATCTGATTCACACATTATTTTAACATGTAATGAACATTTAATTATACATGTATTTAACAAAAGATAGATTTAATCTTTGTTTTGTAGGCATTTAATAAAATTTTAATTTTTATTTCCTACTTGGATTTTGAGTAAATTGATTTTAATATCCTATAAACATGTTTGAAGTTCCTTGTTTTTCATTCTTCAAAACACTCACACATTCTTAAAGAAATAATTTTCCCTGGTTATAGGCAGATCTAACAATTATCTTTCATGCTCACAAACAAGAAGAGAAGCAGAACTGACCTTAAGCAGAATTTTATTGTTCAATTCCACATATTATGGTACATACATCATGTAGCTTCTTCTCCCGACTCATATGATTCATCCTGCATTTGACATTTTTGTCCAAATAGTGGCATTTTAGTTCAAAGCAATCCTTTGACACATCTTCAGCCCTGAATGACCTTCATTGTACCTGATTGCCCTGGTATTACTCCTCAGCTGAGTACCTTAGGCCATCAAGTTGTCGACTTTTTTCCATGATAAAAGGAAATTTGCCAAGACCAAAGGTTATCTGTCCAAATGTAAGGACATTCTCTAAAATCAACCTCAGCTGGACATATTTCATTTAGCCATCTTTTAAACTTTTTTTTTGCCAGAGAAATAATTGCCACATAATAAATGATATTTAAAACCACAATACAGCATGATTGGAGCGACTTAAAATTCATGAGGAAATATACAGTTTTCCCAATGAAAAAAATAATATTTAAAAATGTAACCTAAATATATATTTATATAAATAAAAATTTATATATATATAATATATATAAATAAAAATTTATATATATATAATATATATAAATAAAAAATATATGTATAATATATAAATAAAAATTTATATATATTTTTATATATATGTATATATATTCTCATCGGCTCCCTTCTCAATTCTACAGACTTCTTACAGTCTCCAACCAAATTTTTACCTCTTGCTTTTGTAATTGCTTTGTTCACCTTCTTCCCTCCCATTCCAGATGCCTTTGATAACTTCCGTGCTCTCACATTTTCCTTCACTACTCTGATGGCTCCGCCCTCAGTTGCTGGAGGTGTTGGTTATGCCCATTTACAGTTCATCCCTCTTGTCTGGATCCCCTTTGCCTGGGAGTTAGAGCTCACCAAGTGTTAGGTATCACATGTCCTGCTTCTGTCAGTCCTCAGGGATTTCTCCTGAGAGTGCCTGCTCCACATGTCTCTTACACAAGAATCTCCATCTCAACTCTGCTCCTAAGACAGAAACAAGAGCAAATTCCTTCAGAGTGGGAGACAGCTGTTAGGAACTGTTTTGTTCTAGGTCTTGCCTTATACCCACAAACTTCTGTATAATAATGAGAAGCAGAAGCACCAGAGTGGCAGGTCTAAGAGTAGAAATCATTCTGGTTTGTTTTTAACCCATTCCATTGACATACAGAAAAACATGTACAGAATAACGCCCTCCCTTAAAAAGCTATAATTACAAGAAGAAAACCACTCCAATTCTATAATATGACTGATCCTAAATAAATCCAGTTTTATAAAATTTTTAAAAAGTAACTGTCATACATTCTTCTTACCAGAGCTTTATCTTCCCATTTCCAGAGGCACATTTTATTCTCATTTTAGCATTAGGATTGAACATTCTTTAGACATTGCTGAAGATATTTCAGTGTAAGGAAATTGAAAGTATTTATCATGATGCTATAGAAGATAATAAAAACATATGAAAACAAAATAAAGTATATTCAAAATAAAGACAAAAATCTCAATGCACATCAATTAAATGCATTTTTGTTGAGAACTTACTCTGTGGAAATAAACTGCTAATTATTATACTTTGGACAGCAGTTAATTATGATTTTAACACACAAAAATTTTAAGATCCAGATCTGTAAACAAATTTATAAAATTAACTATAACATAAGCAGAAAAAGAAGAATGAGTAGCAGCATTCTAATAGCAGAGATAAAGAGCTGTAGAGACTTTGAACATCTGACTAAACTGAAATCAACCTAAGTTGAGAGACTACAAACCATTGTGTGCTTTGTTGCCCACATGGGAACGCTAACCCACAATGGTACCCAGACCATACAGGCTCACACAGGCAGGGCTAGCCCGTGCTGTTCCTTCTGTAACTTGAATAAGCTTTGATGGAAGAATGGCGAGTGGAGAACGTCTCTACTCAGAGATATACAAAATTAGGAGAGGTCAAAGACGTGAAGTAACAACAGACAGTGGACATTTGGAAGGAAGAGTGCATTGTGAGGAAAGTTTTTGTTCCACAGAATATGTGCACATCATACACAGTCTGCTTAAAAGAAACATTTGATTGATTCTCTTATGTGTCTAAATTCTCAGATCTATCCCTGGCTTACAAACTCCCATTTCAACGTCTATAGCTTGATCTGAAGCAAATTTTGCGTAAGTAGGTATTCTTCTAGTTTTCTAACATGTCCTTACTGTATTTTAAGGCAGCATTTTAAGTTTGAGAGGAAATAAAGGCTTATACTATATTAGCAACATTCCATCATCCTACATAAAATAGTCCTTCTAAGGATGTGTGACATCACTAATTTTAAGGTAAAGGAGAGTCACTTGTTTTGCCATGCAAGACCTTGCCTCCTAAGCCCCAGCCCAGATTCACTGATTTTCTTCTCTCTAGAGATGGAGTAGAAGGATTTGTTTTGTGCTTACCAAAAGACTCTGACTCAGATACTCAGCCAACCAGACTGTACACTTTTATTTACTACACCCTATGCCACCAAATCCTTAATAAAATCTGGGTCGGCAGTTTGTCCTGTGTACAGTTCTGTTTTGGTAAGATAGTTATTCTTGAGGTTATTATGTGGCATGTGTAAAGTTTTGGAAAAAGAACAAGGACATATAAATGTTGCTTTTTCCAATGATATTATTAATATTTTAGGAAACAATATTTTTGACATTGTAGAGTAGGGCTCCTGAAAAGTAGTCATGTTTCTCAAAAGCACAAAAGTGATTTTATATTTTATGCAATATAAAATAAAATAAATCTATTATTCCAAAAAATGATTGGAAAGTAAATTTATCTTCTATTTACATAAATTTACATAATTTTATACTCCTTTAAGTAAGGAGAAAAATTGTTTAAAGGATCGCTTGTGTTTCACTGTAAATAACAGGTCTACGATATGAAATACATCAACTCTGTTGAGTCAGATAACTGAAATGGGACTTATTACATATTTCTTATAAAGAAGAAACATAAGAAAGTGACATAGTTATACCTTTGGTAGATAAAGGCATCAAGTCAAGATGCCACAAGAAAGAATGTCAAAGGCCACATATATTTCCATACCTGTCAATCTATGAAGTGTATTGATATGCTTTGTAAAACCTACCATACTCATGTATTGGTGATTAGTGAGTCCTCAACATCTCATTACCCCTGTCTTTGACATTTTCTATCCCATTTATTGATGAAACATAAAATTTGAGAGAAATTATTGTCTTTTATGAAAGATGAAACAGCATCTTTAAATAATATACCTGAAGCTGTATAACCAAAGTGTGAAGTCAACAAGTAAAAAAATTCAAATTATTTTTCCAGTGTTTCACCTCTGATTATCAGTGTTGAATATTAAATGTGTTGCAGTAGATCTGTTAGCTCTGCTATCAAAGAAGTGCCAGTCTGAGTGAATCCTGGGGGTGCCCTTTGCTGGCTGGGTGACTTGGGTAAACTGTTTGCTTAGAACTTAGGAGTGTGTGTGCACTGGGCTTCTGGGAGGGAGTTTCAGTCATTGCCAGCCTTGCTCTGGGCAGCTGGCTTGGTCTTGGGCCACTTTCAATCCCTGTGGCCATCTGCGGCCTGGCCACAGAAACCTGGTTTGTTTATCCAAGTCTTCCATGCAGTATTGTTGCTTCCTCATGTTCCCTCATGAAGAAAAATAATAAATATAATAAAATGCTTCTTAAATAAACCTTCTTGGCTTACGCCTGTAATCCTAACACTTTGGGAGGCTGAGGTAGGCAAATCGCCTGAGGTTAGGAGTTCAAGACCAGCCTGGCCAACATGGTGAAACCCCATCTCTACTACAAATACAAAAATTAGCTGGGCATAGTGGCAGGCACCTGTAGTCCCAGCTACTTGGGAGGCTAAGCAGGGGGATCACTTGAGCCCTGAGGGTGGGGGTTGCACTGAGCTTTGATGGTGCCACTGCACTCCTAAATGATAGAGGAGAGCCTGTCTCAAAAAAACAAAAACTAAAACTAAAACACCTGTTTTTCCATTCAAATACGGACATAGTAATAGCTTTGTATTTCAAAGATGTTGCAAAGGGTATAAATCAAGCACTTAGTACAGGCAGGTATTATTAAAGTTCATATATAAATAGTAACAGTAATACTCCTAAGAATGTCCTCTCTAAAAATTCCGTGTTAGAAAAAATGTTGCCCATTATTTGAGCATATTATTATTTTTTGAGAATACATTATTTGATACTTTTTACTTACGGCTACCAAGCCATGCATCTAATCAGTCTATTTTCGTAAATGTAAAATTACCGTTAGCCTTTTAGATATATTGAAAATAGTATGGAGTTTTTAGCTGGGCTATATTCTAAGAACTTTCTTATTTGTTGCTATGATCTTACCAGTTGTTACCATTATTATCACCACTTTGAAGATAAACACAGTAAGACAGAGACTACAAAACTTGCCTCCAGGCAATGAATTAGTCAGTTGGGAAATTGGGATTCAAATCTAAGCGGTCTGATTCTGATTTGCAGCTTAAAGCCCTCCCCACCTTGTACTGTCACCCAGCTGATCCATGTCATGTGCTGACCACCTGCAATAGCTGACATGAAGAACTGACTTCATGTCATGAACTGACTGTACATATAACAGCTGACATGAAGATCTGACCTCACGTCACATCCTGATCATCCATAACAGCTGACATGAGGCCAGGAGAAAGAGTGATATGAAACCTAGGTTTGTGCCTTTGGAGTCACCAGAGAAGCATAAAAAGCAACTGGCTAGCATTGAAGGACAGGTGACCTGGGGTTTGGGTGCTCACTGAGTCACTAGTAGGAAACCCTCACTAAGTGATCTTAGCCAGTCCACCCTTCCAGGTATTCTGAACTTCTCCGCTGACTTAGTACATTTTTACTTGGTCAATCTGCAACAATTAACATAAAAATGCCAGGCAACATACACCGTTTAGTAAACATAGTACTGTTTTTCACTGGAAGCATTGTTAAAGAAATTAATACCTGAGTGTAATGCTCAATAATATTTAGACTTAGCAGAGTTTTAGTATCTAAATATCTAGACTAATATAGAATGTTCTTCTAAGACCATCACTCAAAAATTAGTGAATAAAGACACGGCGATGTTAACAGTTTACTGGGCAAATTGAGCTTTGACGCACTTACAACACATGCCAATTTAAATATTAGTACTATTTGATGTGCTGGTGCCAGGGAAAAGTTTTAACAGTAAAGCTGAAATAATGAAAGAAGCATGAATTAAGTAAAAAAGCCCAAATTATATTCGAATATGTCTCCTCTATATATAAAGGAAAAAAAAAACTTCCAACAAAACTTAAGATATGTTTAATTTTAAGCCAGCCATAGTTGCCCTGATACCCAATTAAAACTACATAAGTATAAACTTTTTAGGAACATGAAGTTAGAAAAATGAGCACAGATTTCCTTGAGTAGTGTTTTGAAAGTTGTTTTATAGGAATACTCATTCTAATCAAAAATATATGCAAGAAACTGATAAATTAAAAAAAAAACTTTTGTGTTTGGCATTCATAAAACACTTGCTAATTGAATGAACTGCAGCTTATTCTTATTTTTGTCGCTTACTGGTTAAGTATAGTTAGTTTTTCCCACTTTTTCTGTTCTTGAATAAATTATGTTGTCACACTCTTATCCTTATTTCATCTCCACTCCTCATTTTAAAATAAATTTTCACTAGCATTCTTAATCTCAATGATTTCTTTCTCAACTTCTTACAGCATTCCATAAATAAATAAGTTAACCGGTATGTTTTCTTGTCCATAATACGGAATTCTCATGATATTCCATAAAAGTCTTTTGATCACTTGGAGTAAAAACAACATTTCCCAGATGAATGGGTTTGAGACACAGAAACTCAAAGCACAGAAGAAAAATAAATCATGTTGAACTTTTGTCTTCTTTTCAGGACACATTGTCATGCTCATCGTGGCCGACATCTCCAGGCTTGCGGTGGGAGAAGCGGTGGTGCGACCTCAGGCTGATCCCTCTACTTCATTCACGCTTCTCTCAGTATGTGCCCGGCACAGATTTGAGTCGGTGAGTCCGTGAATAGGAGTTATGAATTTTGTTTATTTAAAAAGAGACCTTTAGTCAAGCTTTTAATATATCACAACATGCCTTACGATTTTAGTATGTTTTGATAGTAGAAAGAAGAGCTTCAAAAGAATAAACTAACATAGTTAAACACTTATTATTCTGATGACAAAAACACAAATCAAAGCCCCCATTCTGCTATTCACTTATTGTAATGGACTCAATGTATTTAATAGCTACTTTTATTAAGTTTCATTTTTCCTTTTGTGTTGTTTACTTCTCAAGAATATTGCATAGATTATTTATTTATTTGTTTGTTTGTTCATTTATTTTGAGACGGGGTCTAGCTCTATTGCCCAAGCTGGAGTGCAGAGGGGTGATCTTGGCTTACTACAACCTCCATCTCCTGGGCTCAAGTGACCCTCCTGCTTCAGCCTCCCTAGTATCTGGGACTGCAGGCACATGCCACCATGGCCAGCTAATTTTTTTTTTTTTTTTTGTATTGTTTTTTGTAGACACGGCATTTCACCATGTTGCCTAGGTTGGTTTTGAACTCCTGGGCTCAAGAGATCTGCCTGCCTCAGCCTCCCAAAGTGCCGTGTTTACAGGCATAAACCACATGCCTGGAGCATAGTTTGTCTAAATTATAAGATTTATTTTCAGCTTTTAACATTCTATTATTGTCTATTTTAATAAATGCAAGATATAGTAGTGTCCTCCTTTTCATTCTTGAATTTTTTTTTTTTTAATCTTGGTCAGTTTTGCTAAGGAGTTGTACATTTGGTTACTTTTTAAAAAATGATTAATTTGGGTCTTTCTTGAATCACTTAACTTATATATATACTTTATGAGTTTCTGCTTTTTCCCTGATTGTTTCAATGTCTTAAATTGTTCAGCTTGATTTTGTGTTCTTACAGATTTTTGAGAAAAAATTTCCAGGGGTTGGGAAACTTTTCTGTAAAGAGCTATATAGTAAATATTTTATACTTTGCAGGCTTTAATGTCTCTGTCACAAAGTACTCAAGCTCTTGTGGCACAAAAATAGCCGTATACAATATATAAATAAATGAACACACCTTTGTTCCAATAAAACTTATTTACAAATACAGATGGCAGGCTAGATTTGTTCCATAGGCTGTAGTTTGCCAGCTCCTCTTTTGATAATTAATTTTAAGACTTTTTTTCCTAATACATGTAGTCAGATTTTCACATTTCCATCAAAGATTGTTTTAGTTACTCCTGCAAGTTTAAAATTACCTCTTGACCTATTTACAGTATTTTTGAGTATATCACATTGTATAGTTTTCTGACTGGCTGCTCGTATTGTAATATATGTAGGTAATGTATCACAATCTACTGGTAACCTTTTACCACTTCAGATGAAGTATAGAAATGTTGCTTCCATTAAGACTCCTTTATCTTTCCTGTTTGTAAAGAAGTTACCTTAATTTCCTATACATACATCAAAGAGTATCAGATGGTATTAGGGGTTTTGCTTCAACCATCAAATAAGATTTTAAAAACTCATGGAAAGGATAATTCATTATACTTAACCCAAAGCGTACCCATCGATGATCTTTCTGAATTTCAAAGCTTCTTTTATCGTTTCCTTTATGCTTAGGTAATTTTTTAGACATTCTCTAAAGGTAGATTTGCTAGCATGTAATTCCTTCAGTTTTCAGTTATCTAAGAATATGTTTATTTTACTTTCATTCCTAAGGAGAATTTCCTGGGATCTAGACTTTGGAGTTGACAGTTCTATTTTTTCAGTACCTGAAATATGTCAGGTATTAATGTCCACTGTCATTCAAATTGGTGTCCCGTCTAAGTAATACGTTCTTTCTGTTTTAAAGAATTTTTATTTCTTTTTCTTCAGTTTAAGAAGACTAGTTACGATTTATGTTGGCACACATTTCTTAAGTTCCTCCAAAATGGGCTTTATTCTGCTTCTTAACTCTGTATGATTGTGACTTTCACCAAATTAGGAAAATTTTGACCTTTATTCCTTCAAACATTTGGTCAATCCCACTTTCTATTCTCTCCCTCTGGATTTCTGATAATGCAATTATTAAACCTTTTATTATTGTCCTGCACATCACTGAGAAACTTTAAAAAAAAAATCTGTTTTCTTTCCATTAAAGAGATTGGGAAAAGTTTATTGATCTGTATTTATATTTTTAAATTTTATTTCCCGTCCTTTAACTCTGCTCTTCAGCCTATTCAGCATTTTATTTTTTGTTGATGTATTTTTCAGTTCTAGTTTATCCTTTTAAAAATAACTGATTTTTTGCAGTTTTTTAAAAAAATATTTCTATTTGTTTCAAGAAAACTTGTAATTGCTTGTTGAAGCATTTTTAGGATGGTTAGTGTAAAATCCTTGTGAGATAATTTCAGTATCTCATTTATTTCACTGTTAATATCATTAATTTTTTTCTCATTCAACTTGTGATTTTCCTGAATATTTATGTGACAAAGGAATTTAAAAAATCATCCTATACGTTTTGGATATTAAATGTTGAGACTCGGGTTCCTATTTAACCTGGTTTTGTTGTTGTTATTCTTGTTATTGCTGTTGTTGACTTTAGCAGGCAATCTCTTCGTTGTGTTGTATTGTGAGGATGGGTGGGTGTATATGTTAAGTTTCCTACTGCACCTTGCTGACACCTGGAAAGGTAGATGGACAGGACCATTCACATTGCTTGGTAGCTACAGGATGGAGGTAGAAGCTAAGCCTCACAAGAAACTCTACTGATACAAGGGAGGAAGTGGACGGATAGGTGAGGGCAACTAGCTCCACCTCCCACCACCTCATTCCACCGTGGTGATGATGGTGGCAGAGACTCGGCTCCTTGATGGACCACACTTGCCAGCATGGAAGGGCATAGTACTTACTTGTTCCATCTCCTACAGGCCCATTTAGACTAATTGCTGCAGGTGAGTATGAAGGTTCAGCTGTCCATGACACCCCACTGACACTACCCTGGCAGGGAAATTGGAGCTTGCTTCTTTTAGGTGTAGGACAGAAGACCACTTTCCTGCCAAGCCCTGCTGAAAACCTTAGGAACAGGGGGACAGTGCTTCCATTGGTACTTGGCTGGATTAGGGCAGGTATTGCCAAAGAGCTTTGTTTTGTTTTTAGTGTACTCATTCTCCAGTCCTTTAAAAAAGGAGCAACAGGCTTTCATTGGAGTCTTTATATTTTAAAAAATCTTGCTGTTTGCCGATCAGATTGGAGGCTTCAGAAGGTCGTGCCTAGGATATGCAAGAGGCAATAGGAAAACTCAAGGCACTTAATAGTTTTTTATTCCTGAGTTTGACGTCCCTAGGCATTCATGGTTAATTGTTCACCTTGCAGCAGCTTCCAATACTTTTGTCATGTTATGTGTGATGTTTTTTAGCTGCATCAGGAAGCATCTGAGAAGAATGAGGCCACTCGGTCTTTGCCAGCATAAGAAATCCACAAGTATTGATATTTATGTGTTTTAAAAAAATTCATTTAATGATGTTTTATATTTTTGTTACAATTACTTCTTTGTTCTATGAACTATTTAAAAGTACACCACAAAATTTCAAAATATTTTGAGATTTTCTAATTACCTATTTTTGCTATTGCTATTTAGTATAATTTCAGGCTGAATGATCTCAATCCTTTGGTATATGTTGAGGCTTGATTTTACTCAGCATGTAAGTTATTTTGGGAAATATTTTGTATGCATTTTTAAAGGATGAGTATTGCTATGTTTTTTTTTAGTGCTGTGTTGTACATATTTTAACTAGGTCATATGTGTTCATTAAAGGCTCTGATCCTCTGCATCACTCATGATCTTTTTTTCTGATTATTATATTAAGTTTTGGAGAAACATGGTAAAGTGTCCCACTGTGATGGTAGATTTGTGTATTTCTCTATTTTGTTGACTCAGTGTTTGCTGTATATACTTAATTATGTTGTCAGATACAATTAGATTTAGAATTTTTATAAATTTCTTTTGTATGATGCTTGATAATTATGGCATGTCCTATACCTTTGGAAATGTTTCTTGCCTTTAAGTCTATTCTACCTGTATTAGGATAAATAAGAACCAGATTTCTGTTTATTAATATCTACTTGTATATTTTTCCATCCTATTTGTTAAAACTTTCTTAGTCGTATTGTATAAAATGTGTCCCTTCTGCATTAAATATATATGTGTATATACACACCTATATATTGCATATATATATTTGGATTTTTCTTTTTTGTTTTTAATCCAAAGTAACAAACTTGGTCATTAAATCAAATTAGTCTAGTTACTTTTAATGTAATTACAGATATATTATTATTATACCATCTTATTGTTTGCTATTGGAAATCCTAGTTTTTTTATGATTAAACATTTTATTTTGAAAAAACTATAAATTCACATGCACTTGTGGGAAACAGTACTTTCATTTACTCTTTGATTATTATCCCAATGGTAGCGTGTCGCAAAACTATTGTACACTATCCCAGCCAGGAAATTGACCTGACAAAATTCACCATTCAGATTTTACGTGTGTGTGTGTGTGTGTGTGTGTGTGTGTGTGTGAGAGAGAGAGAGAGAGGGAGAGAGAGAGAGACCTTTTGAATTATTTAATACTAAGTCTTTTTTCTTATGTTAAGCTATATATTTGTAATCATCAATCAACTTCTCTTCATTCTCTTTCCCTTCTAACTTTTCTGGTCTCTGGTAATAAACAATCTACTATCTATTTTAATGATATCAACTTTTTTAGCTCTCACTCAAATATGAGTGAAAACATGTAATACTTGTCTTTCTGTGCCTGGATTATTTCCCACAACATAATGACCTCCAGTTCCACCCATGTTGCTACAAATGAGAGAATTATATCCTTTTTTTCAGGGATGTATAATATTCTATTGCATATATATATGAATGTAGTATATGTATACTACTTATTATTATTATTTTTTTGAAATGAAGTTTTGCTCTTGTTGCCCAGGCTGGAGTGCAATGGCATGATCT